ACAGGGTCTAGTATATACCCGTAAAATATTGAGTTGCCTGACCCTCTCCTTGCTAAAGCAGAGCGATCACAAAAATGAAAGTGATCCATTTTAAAATCTGGTTTCCGTCAAATCTGTGTGTTTGATCTTTTATCTGGACTTAATGCTTCAGGTGCAACTGGAAATTGGACTGGATGATAGCTTGATGTCTGTTGAGCAATTCTGGGCCCAAAAATCCGGTCTCAAGTGGGTTGGTTGTGAAGCACTTGGTCAATGAAGTGGTGACCACTAAAATGGCAAAGGTGCCCATGGCCTGCCAGTAGTCTTTGATGAGAGGTCTCAAGCATGTATAGGGCAACTCTTCCACTCCTAAGGACTGCCCCAATGACACAGGCAAGGTGACTGTGACCACCTCACACCCTATCAGGGTTGAAGAACTTCCACCACCGTTTGGCCACGGCTCTTTGGTGGCCTTGATCTTGAAATAGGGCCTTGCGCAATGTGAAAATCCGGCTGAATACAGTAGATGCCGGTCACTGAGTTACACCTAGAGTGTAAGAAAGGCAACTCATGCAGACGTGCATGGTGGGTGGTTGCCTGATGTTGATTTTTGCATGATCTGTGTATACAGCCTGAACAAGGAGCTTCCCAACAGCCCCAATAAGCCATATTTCTGGGTCCTGATTGATCAGTTGTGCTATTTTGGATCCTATGAGATGCCTAGAAGATGTACAGACTTGATGGTGTGATGGTTGACCCTATGCAAAAATCCGACCACAGATCAGAGCTGAAAAACAACACTGTCTGGTCTCGGGGCATATATGTAGCTCTGTTCCTGTACCTGGGACATTGGATTAATGAATTAGAGTATCCTAGGCTTCATCCTGGTCAGTTTTGGTATGGCATTGACACTCAAGACACCTGAGAACAAGTGCTGAACTTTCAACCCAATGTTCAGCTCGGCAATGAAAATTGAATGGAGGACTCTGCACATTGAATTTCCACTTTTTGAGGACAACTAAGCTTTTCCAGCATCCATGAGCTCCCACTGACAAGTTATACCATACAGGTAGGGGGTCCCAGGTACACGGGAGGATTATTTTACTGATTTCTTCATTTGATGTTTCTGAGTCCCTGAGCAGGCCGGAAGTGCACTGCTTTGGCTCACAGATGGAAGATGGGATAGTGAAGAGGAGCTGTACAACATTTGAGCTCATTTGGGTCAGTCGTTGCAGTGTTCACGGCAAATAGTGTGGGTCAACCAAATGCAGAATAACAAATGGATCACATGTTCGCGTTTGACACACCACTGAAGCCGAACAAAGCCGATTTCGGACTCCGATTTGTACCTGCTAATAGTAGCCCTCCTAGTGCTCCTACTACACCCCACAACCAGTTTCCAATGTCCCTCCATCGGGCTTGACACCGCGTCCAATTTTCAAGATCTGGTGATCCATTACTTTTTCCGAGTCAGTGTAGGTGCTGGATAACCGCTCGGATAGGGTCTTTTCCAGGCTTCAGCCCCAACGTGTCGCCGATTCTCTCAGCCAAGTCGTTGATCATACTCCGCAACCACAGATGGATAGTGCAACACAGCCCGTGCTAGGCTTGTTTTTCCCATACCCCCGCCGCCGAGAATAGCGACACGAGCGGAACGCGGTGGGACGATGAGATTGATGATGGCTTGCAATTCCAGCGAAGGGCCGTGGAAAATCTTCGGCTGGGAAGGGAGTAGAGAGAGGGAGAGTGAGCTGACAGAAATGAGCACCCGAACGTTAGACTTTGATGGCTGGAAGGACACACCTACTGCCCGACGCCTTTGTGTACAACTAACCCTGTAGTCAGCAATGTAGTCATGGGTCGTTGAGAGCGGCGTACGGAGGGAGTGGGTTCCGAGAGAGTTTTACATTCGTCAGACAGAGCCGAAATCGACTCGAGCAATCGCGCGTGCATGCATTCTATCTCCTTCTGAAGGTCCATGAGATTCGGTATGGCGGAACTTTGAGCCCCAGTCTATCCAGTCCATCAGATTAGATGAAAGATCGGGAGACAAACTTACCTGGAACACCGAGACCGCCTCTTCAAGCTTCAATATTCAATACCGGTGCGACATTTCCGGAGGAGGTTTGACATCTCATTCTGTCGGAACAGGTGCTTGAGTTTCTGACCTCCCTGCTGGGCGTCGACAAAGGTGTGGATTTGACGTAGGGATCTGACAATCTTATGGCTCGAGATCCAATTGCAGTGACTGAATAGACGTACTCGGTGAAATTTCCCAAATGATGAAGAGTCGCAGGAGGCAGATGGTTGGCCTTTGCAACTTCGATGTTGAGGCTAATTCCAGTCAAGACGCTACAGGTGCGTTCCAGCAAGTCTGCGCAATCTTCTTTGTTTCTTTTCACGGTCTGGAATACACAAGCTCGGTCTCGCGAGCTAGTAGTTAATGAACCGCAAGTAGGGGACACACTTGAGACATCCCGATTAGCGCGGTCGTTGTGCTGGAGATAATGTGCATGAACGGCACATCGAATGCAGCTTGCAGCTCGTCGAGGACGGGTGCGATGATTTTTAGACAGGTCGAGACATTCGAGAGCTGAACGTCGACGGCGCTACGAAGTTGGGGCATTTCGGGTGTTGCGAGGGAGAATGGAGACGTCCAAGTTCAGTTTATACCAGACAGAACAGAATTCTAGAAGCCGGTGGGCTTTGTCGCACGTCATGGATAGCTGAGGCAGGGGCATCAGTTTAGAATAAGAGATCCATCGAAAGGCGTACAGGGGCTTTGGATCGTTGTCGGGATAGTCGTCTCGATATAAACAAAGCTCTCGATCTGTGTACACGACTTCCTGGACAGTTCAGTTCAATCTCGACTGCCGTGACGTGCCGGTGTCGAGTACCTCTGAATCTGTTAAGGGGCATTCTGGCCGTCAGACGCGGGAACATGAGACTTACAGGAGACATCACAAATCTTTCAGCCTCCAAAATCACACGACGCACCGAGAATATCGACATGAATAGCAATATAGAAGCCATAGATCACAGAGGCGACCCAACCCTGCCGTATGCAACCATACTAGGATTCCCATGTTAACCCTTGACACAGGGAATGTCATTGGCAGATGGGATGTGTCGGTGGGAGACCAGGACCCAACTCGCCCGAAGACGAGGACTAGGAAAGGGAGATCAGGAATCCGGAAGGACCAGGCCCCGGAAGGTGCCGGTATATCGGGAAGAGTACAGCTGCCAGATGTGTCGTGAGCCGCGGGCATAAGGAATGGCAGTAAGATTCAACCGATCTATTCGTACCACAGGGCTACAGGCCGATGATCACTTACAGCATACGACACTGCACAACTATACGGCGAAATCCGCCCCTCCGATCGTTCGGTAATCTCTTCCCCTCCCTCACCTCCGAGCGCAACCTGCGAATTAGAGTTACCGGGCAAAATGATCCGCTGCCGATGCAGCATGTGTCCGGAATAGGAGAGCAAGTGGGCATGCAGCGTTGGGGACACTTGCTGAACAATGCCCACCTGACGCCAGGTCACTGCCGAGCCGATTCCGAGTACAAGGCGGAATTTGTAGAGGAGCGCACGACTGCTGTCTGGCGCGAGCGGCTGTGGATAGCGGAGAGACAACCAGAGGCGATAGACCCCGCCTCTGCCTACCCAGGAGTGTTGGGAAAATCCCAATTATCTGAGAGCATGCGTGAGGGAAATGGGATACATCAACAGCGTTGTTGGGAGTGTCTGTGCCGAGCGCCAACCAGTAGGGCGAGAGGTGTTCCATGCTGAATAGGCTGATGGTCACTTTCCCGGTCGGAGTGCTCGTCGAGGCCAAGACGAAATGTCCTGGAATGAGATGGAGTGCGAGGTGTGATCCCTGTATCATAATTATCAGGAACACGAGCAGAAGCCTGGATGTTTATGCCTCACCCCGACGATTTCGCAATACTGGTGCGTACGCCAATTGATTATGACGTACAGTTCTTCCTCGCGAGACATCTTGACCGTACCAAATCCATCGAAAATTCTTGGACAACGTGACGATAGTGGAGTAAATCTGGCTCGGCGGACTGCAAAAGAGGACACTGTTTCTGCCACTCCTGCCGCCAAGTCCAATGTAACGATTTGTACAAATCTAAACGGCAAATTAGTACTTGACGGTGTGTGGCATTAAACACGCACGGAATACTCCAATCGAGCGAAGTCTGAACACAGGTGACGAGATTCAGATGCTCCCCACTGTCCAGTAGTTGAGCTCCAAAATATAGAACCCGGGCATCGGGTAAATTGCTTTGATGCTGCCAGACCATCGTCCCGTCAAGTACACGCCAGCATTCCAGGTTATGTGTACGATGGTAGAGTAGATACTGTCCCCCCGGGAGAAGTTCAGCAGCCGTGCCAGAGAGGGGCGCGGGAAGTTCCGCCTTGTCGAGTCTCTTTCGCAGCTTCGGCTTGGCGTGAATCGCATTCGGACTGGCCAATAGCCCGGGACTTGATCCAGCACTGCTATCAACCATTCTTCGAAACAAAGTCGACCTGTTGGGTCTAGCCTCGGTAGATTGGCGCGGAGACCAGGTCGTAGGGCCGAGGATGATGGGCTTTACAAGAGTCACAAGCGAGTCCATGGACATGGCCCTTATGTCCGCAGGGGAGAGTAAATCGACGAATCCTCTGTACTGCAGGTGTTCCACAATAGTTACCCAAGTGCTGTGGCAGAAAACGAGAGAGTGGAGGTATCGGTTGGTCTGCAAGATCATAAGTATTCAAGGCAAGAGTCGCAAGACCTCCAAGCCGCTTACTTGACCCAGGGAGATGGCGGAATGCACGTCATAGAATGCAAGGTTGTAGTTGAGAATGTCCTCAGGGATGTGGAGGAACTCCATTGCAGCTCGACAAGTCTCTTGATGATGGTGGGAGACGGAGAGGAGAGTGTACAGCCTTGATTGACAGGGATCTCGGCAACATGTGGGCTCCCACCCGTTGGTGGCGACACAAACGTGTAACTCCTTTCCAATAGGCAAGATGGCCGAGCGGTCTAAGGCGCCGCACTCAAGCTTGTGCTTGCTCTTAAACCGGAGTTCATTTGCGGTCTCGAAAGAGGCGTGGGTTCAAATCCCACTCTTGTCAGCTCTTTTTGTATCCTTTCCTGACGGCAATTTTACCCCTCTCTGTTGGTGACCTACAATTCCAATCACAACAGACCTGAAACTTTCCAGCGATTTTGGAACTAATGTCGACGTGCATACGAGAAGTTCTAGCTGAAAACGGGGAACAGATTATTATTGATGAAGCCGCGGTCCAGCGCGGACCGCCAAGGCAAGATGGCCGAGCGGTCTAAGGCGCCGCACTCAAGTTACTCTTGCCCGCTCCTGGGCTTACTTGCGGTCTCGAGAGAGGCGTGGGTTCAAATCCCACTCTTGTCAATGTTTTGCTGCTGGAGCCAAGTCTCCTCGGTTCGCACCCGTCCGCACTCGGTTACCATTCAGTTCAACACTCAGAAAAATCAGTTATGTAATCTCAACCTTCAACAATCCTCGCTCATGGAGTCGGGGCAGCTGCCTCTGGAAAAACTCGACCACCTCCTTCGAAGTATACCCTCGCAGGGACCCTCGCACACGCACGAGTACAGATTCCAGCATTGATAAACTCCCCGGCGACTCCGATAAAGTGACCTCGAGACCCCGGAGGGCGGCAAGGAACCGCGGGGTGTCGTAGATGCACAGGAAGACGATGCTCTTGATGTATTTGGCCGCCGAATCTAAATCGGAGAGAAACCAAGGCGCACGATCTGTGAGTTCGAGATGCGTGAGCCCGGTCAGTGCGCTTAGGTTGATGGTGCTGGGGTAGGCTGGTGACGCAGTTGAATAATATCGTTGAAATTCAGAATGACTCGTAAACGTACCGATTCCCATCCCGCCTGCGGGCAGTGTGAGGTCAAGGCTCGAGTTGATATAATACTCGCGGTCAAGCGAAGCCCACGGCAACCCGTTTTCGGCGTCGCTGATATGCGTGAGGGCGGAGAATTCCTCCGGTGTCGAGAATTTCATGCACGGAACTTGAAGATCCATCGCTCCGGCCGCAGCCAGAGTGATGCGCCGCACTTTGAACGGTGGTTGAAACACGTTATATCCAACGATCAGGCTCGCGTCCCCGAGGTGAACATAGTGCAAACGGAGTGCGTTGAACCGTGGACTGCAGTTGGACATGATGTGCCACAAAGCACGGAGTGGGAAGTTGTAAAAGTCGCTGAATGTAACAGCGCGGATGGATGGGTTTTCACTGAGGAATGCGGTGATTCTCTCGAGCGCGAGTGGGCCTTGTTGATTTCCTGCATACGAGGGAAAGTTTCGAAATGCAACGGCGTGCAGGTTCGTCCACGCGATTCTAGACATGTCTGCGGACATCAGGGCCTTGACGTCGCAATCCAGGGTACGAATATGGCGCAGGAGGTGGGGAAAGGACTCCAAGGCCGTTATCAACCCATTCGGAGGCGCGCCGATACGTAGATGACGGAATAGAACGGATTGGGCGGGGTGCACGAAAGAATGCGCGACGAGAGCACACGATTTGAGCGTCCGTGGCGACTCGTGCAAGGCGTCGAAGATGGGGTAGAGCAAGTCGTGCAGATCGACGGGGGGTGGCATGCTCGTTGCTGCCCAAGTGGACGGACGGAGCCCAGATTTAATAAAGCACCTGGTCGGCCAATCGTCGGAAATGGAGTGAGTTAGTTGGGCACGACAGGAACGTGGAGTAAGCTTTCGGGAAGTGAAAACCCATCGAGGCCAAGTCGCAGTCCAAACCACGAATATGACGGAGGAGGTGCGGAAAGGGTGCGAAGGCGAGGACACTGGGCGGATGGAGCAATGAGACTCGTTCATATAAAATCGAATGAGCCACGGAGCCCAGATTAAACTACATCCATGGATCGGCCCGTCGATGCAAAGAAACACGCGTTGAGGCGCAGATCCGGATGTCCATGAGGCCGCTTCCATCCGCGCACTAGAAAGCCTTGGCGCCGACAAACTTGACAACCTGCCTGCATGGTGAAGAGCGATCGCGATCCTCGGGTTCACAGTCCACTACTCTGGTACTCAACGATCCCAAAGTACGACCAAAAAAAACACAATTTGATTCATTGACTGAATTGCTACAAGAGAGTGTGAGGTAGTAGAGATACATGTGCGTTGCGTTGCGTTGCGGTTCTGCGATTTGGGATAAGTGAAAAAGGTGCCAAGGTACAAAAAGAGAGTCCAGATACGGTACAGTAAACGGGGAGGAGTCTGCATTTATGTCGAGTATACAGCAGTCAATGGAAAGTCAAAGTCAAAAGAAATATAAAGTGGATGGATGCGTGGTATGGATTGGATGGATGGATGGATGCTGGAGAAAGAGCGGTACATGGATGCGGATGCTTTGTTGATATGGTATTATGATTATTTGGTTATTCGGTTCCGAGATGCGATATGGCGAGTGCGATGATGCTGACGGGCGAGTTATGGTAAAGGTCCTGATATAAGAGGGGTCGAGGACGAAATGCCAAGGTCGAATCGAGTCGATGTTCTGAATGAGCTCCAATATGGGATGGGGTTGGTGCGCGCGACACGCATTAACTTTTTTGTAAGATGGTGGTCGGGATGATGATGATGCAAGTGAAATGAGCGAATAATATCTTGAGGTTTAGCTTAGTATCTATACCCTCAAGTCAGCGGAAGATCAAGTCAATGGTGCGTAAGATTACCTGCGTTTAACCATACAATGCAAGCAAGCGAGATGCGATTCAATATCCGTAGTAAGCGCGCATGCGGTCGCTGAAAACAACGTTAGAAAGCGTTCCCAGAAACAGAAGACGAAGGGACATACAAAAGCCAAATGACCTTGGACCCAGTCTTGCATCCGCGCAGCGTAACGATATGGCTGCGAATGCAGTCGTACAGCATCGCACGTTGGTCCTTGTCTGCCTGTGGATGATGATGAGCGGGTAAAAGGGCCGACGAAGGAGGGAAGGACTGACATTGGGCAGCACGCTCGCGATGAGCTGGCTCCCGGTGAGCGACAACGCAAGGTCGACGATCATGGCACGACGAGCCCTGAAGCAACGATGAACGATGAGGAAAAGACGATAAGCACAAGGAGACGCACCCTTTAGCCGGCTCACACATACGCTGCACGACACGATCAAGCGTCTCCCTCCCGCCCTCCTTCAGCGCCTTGACAACGCTCTTGTTCCCCTGCTCGTTGGTCGCAAACTCGAGGAGGCCGTTGAGGAGATGGTCCAGCGCCATATGACGGTGCTTGTCCGACCCGTGCTCGAGGACTGGGTACGTGTCATTGAAGGGAGTATGATGATAAGCAAGGACGTACTGTGCTGCACGCAGTATGCGCCCCACTGGTTCTTCGCCACCTCCGCAAAGACCACACCACCCTGCCCGAGCAGCTCTTCGACGATACCGTCCTTGGCGCTCTCCTCGAGGTTCTCGAAAGCGTGCTGACGTAGACATGGATAAGCGGGGGCAAGAAGGAAGAGAGGAAGAGCTACCTGCACGACGAGCGAGCCAGTCTCGTGGCATGCGAGCGCAGCCCACTTGCCCTTGAGCGACTTGTTGACGCTGCGAAAGAAGATCAGAGCGGGCAGGAGTGAAGACACGCTCCACGTACTAGGCAAAGATGGGCGGGGCCGGTGGCGTCCACGAAAGCTCCATGATCTTGCTCCAGACGTGCGACGCGTGCTTGTTGACGAGCGTCTGCGCGGGGTCGCCCATGAGAAGCTCCGAGACGATGAGCAGGCGGACCTCCTCCTCCTCGCAGTCGAGCGCCTTCTGGAGGACGTGGCAGCCGTAGCAGTTCGTGGCGAGGTCAACAACACGGCCACTGGATAGAGTAAGCACAAGGACGAATGGAAGGAGAAGGGTGTAGCTGACCGCATGCAAGCAACGATCTTGCGGCGTTCCTCCGGACCCGTGGCGGCTTCGAGACAGCGCTGGACGGCCCAATTGCCAAAGCTAGCAAAAGAACGTGAGCTCACGTTCGAGGGAAGGAACAGTGTACTGACCGATGCATCATCATCTCCCCACCACGAGAACAGATGGCGTCGACAATGCGTCCCCGCTCCTCAGGGCCCGCGACTTTGAGCTTCTGTTGCAAGAAGATGGACGCCTGTTGGTCGGCGCTCTTGATGATACGGGAGACGAAGGAGGCGTATGGCGGCGACGACGCTGGGTGCAGGAGGGAGAGGAAGTTGATTGGCTAAAGGAGGATTGTCAGCAATAGATGTAAGAGAGGAAAAGAAAGACGGACCTCGTTGCTACCATGCCCGCGACCCGAACGCCCAGACACCTCGCCAGACGTCGCCCCAGTCGCCGTGCCAGTAGTACGAGAGCTCAAGTGACCACTCCCGCCAACAGGCGCCCCACTCGCTACTCCCAAGCCGCCAGCCTCCAACTCCCAGCCTTTCCCGCTGAATCCCGCACCCAGCCCGAGCGTTTCCTGCTGCTGGATGTGCTGAAGCTGCTGCTGGTGATGTTGGTGCTGCTGCTGTTGGTGGAGTTGGTGGAGCTGCTGGACTTGCTGCTGCTCATACACGAGCCCACCGCGCAACTGCTGCTGCTGCTGCTCTTCCGCGAACGCAGGAACGCCAAAGGCACCTCCCGCCCCTGCCCCCGTCCGATACAGCGTTGCCCCATGCACCGGAGTCTGCTGCTGCTGCTGGGACTGCTGTACGAAACCGAGCCCAAGCCCAAGACCCAGACTATCGTCGGGACGGATCCAGTCCCCGCCGAGCGAGTTGGGGTTCGCATTGGCGTTGGAAGAGGAAGACAGACGATAATACGTCCCGTCGTTGCCGGTAATGGTGTTGTTGGAAACGGGCCCGGGTCCGTCAGCAAAGAGCGCGCTACCGCCCATGCCAAGACCAAGGGGACTGCCATGCACTCCGAGATGAGGAGGGAGCGCGCTGAGCGTCGAAGGTGGCGTCGGTGGCAGTGGCAGGAAGCGGGACGATGCAGAGCCGGAGCCAGGGGTCGAGCGAAGGGGAGGGAGCTGCTGGTGCTGTGGGGAGACAGGGCTGGAGAGCCCGAGGGGAAGGCCGAGCGTGCGCGGAGCACGCCCAGGACTTTCGAGAAGATAGTCGTATGCTTGGACGGAGTACTGCTGCTGGGCACGCTCTTTGTTGTAGAAGCCGGAGAGAGGGAGGCCCGGCGAATGCAGCGGAGAGCCATGAAGGCTAGAGAGATGTCCATGGGAGGAGGGCGAGTGTAGGCCCTGACTGTAGCTGTGAGGCGACGACAGGACGCTGGGAGAGTCGAGTGGGGTGAGGAGGGCGCTCGAAAGCGAGAGTGGGGAGTAATCCGAGCCGGGCGACTGCGGATAAGACGCCGACGCTGAGCTTCTGCTCGTCAACGATGGCACCGACCCAGAGTCGTCTGTG